ACTGGTGATGGCGCGTCTGCGAGAGATCGCGCCCCACGGCTACCAGCGCAACACCGGGCTGCTCACCGCCAGCTTCGCCATCGGGCAACTGAGCGGCCCGTTGCTGGCCTCGATCAGCAGCCATGTGAGCGGCGGTTTGCAGCCAGCGTTGGTAATCGCCGGTGCAGGTCTGTTAGTGGCGGGCGGGATCGTCCTCAGCTCGCAACCAACGGCACCGGCACGCGACCCTGCTCGCGTCGCGCCAGCACCAGAAAGAACAGGCCGCCCAGCAAACACCCAGTGAACCAAGCGAAGTTGGCCAGGCCCTGCAATGCCGGGGTGAAGGTGATCGCAACGCCCACCAGCGTCGCGGGCACCAGCGCCTTGACGGCTGTCCAGTTCACACCGCCTTCGAAGTAATAACGTCCGTTCGGGCTGTCATCGAACAGCGCATCCACATCGATCCGTTGTTTTTTGATCAGGTAGAAGTCCACCAGCAGGATGCCGAACAGCGGCCCGATGAACGCCGCGAGAATATCCAGGGTGTAGTGGATCATCAGCGGGTTATTGAACAGGTTCCACGGGGTGATGAAGATCGAGGCCACCGCCGCGATCATGCCCCCGGCGCGCCAGCTGATTTTGCTCGGCGCGACGTTGGCGAAGTCGAACGCCGGGGATACAAAGTTGGCGACGATATTGATGCCGATGGTCGCGGTTACAAATGCAAAGGCACCGAGCAGAACAGCCATGCTGTTATCGATCCGCGAGACGGTGGCTATGGGGTCATGCAGCATCTCGCCAAACACCGGCAAGGTGCCTGAAACAATCACCACGGTGACCAGGGAAAACGCCAGAAAATTCACCGGTAGGCCCCAGAAATTACCGCGTCGCACGTCTTGCATGCTGCGGCAGTAGCGGCTGAAATCGCCGAAATTCAGGGTGGGCCCAGAAAAGTACGACACCACCAACGCCGTGGCGACGATCACCTGGCCAAACGCTTGCCAACCCGACAGGGATTTTTCCGCCAGGGTGAAACTGATATTCGCCCAACCCGCCTTCCACACAATCCAGCCGGCCAGGATAAACATCACGGCGTACACCACCGGGCCCGCCCAATCGATAAAACGGCGGATGGATTCCATCCCGGCCCAGAACACGGCGGCTTGCAGCACCCATAGGCTGAGAAAACCAAACCAGCCCAGGTAGGAGAGGCCCGCGAAATGCGGCTCGGCATAGACCGCCATTTGTGGGAAGAATCGCAGTACCACGATGATCAAGGCACTCGACGCTAAGTAGGTCTGAATGCCATACCACGCCACGGCGATCAGGCCGCGAATCACCGCGGGAATATTCGCACCGAACACCCCGAACGCCAGACGGCAAATCACCGGGTAAGGCACTGCCGCTTGCTGGCTGGGCTTGGCCACCAGATTGGCGATCAATTGCACGATACAGATGCCGGCGAGCAAGGCGATCAACACCTGCCAACTGGCCAGCCCCAGCGCGAACAGGCTGGCGGCGAACACGTAGCCACCGACGCTGTGCACGTCGCTCATCCAGAAGGCAAAGATGTTGTACCAGGTCCACTTTTGCGGGAGTGGACCAAGGTCCTGGTTGTACAGGCGTGGGCTGTAGCCGTTGGGCAATTGTTCGGTCATCGCTGGCTCCTCGTCATACCGGCCTGCGCTGCCGTAGCAGGTGCATACGGGAGGCGGCATGGTTTGTATACGAGATCGTCAGCAGAATACGTGCCAATGGCACACAATCCCTGTGTTACGGCAGTCCAAGGGGATCAGCGAACCTTAATCAGCGGCACTTCGCTCAGCAACGGTGCAGATTTATCCTGTACACAATCATCAGTGCACCCGATGTGCACACACGTAACCCACCGTGCAGCAGGCCGCCGTGAGGAAGGTGCCCCAAGCCATGTCCATCACTGCCAGTTGAGCGGACCAACCCTGCAACGTGGCCCAGTTGCTTAGATCATAAGTGCCGTACGCCACCAGCCCCAACAATGCGCCCAAGCGCGCCGCGCGCTGCCAACTGACGCTGGGCAGCACCACGAATACCACGCAGCCGAGCACATACAAGAGATAGAAGAGCACCGCGGGCAACAGCCGAGGTTGATCGAGCATCAGAGGGCCCAGCAGGGATTTGTAGGTGGGGCCCATAAGGACGCCGAGCCAGAGGCCGTCCAGAATCAAAAAGGCGAGCAACGTGCCCAGGTAGGCAAACAGGATTTTCTTGGTCATGGAAACAGCCTCTGTAGGCGCCGGTCAGCGCCTACAGAAGAGCAAAACGCCCTCAGCTTAGTTCAATGCGATCGGCATGAATCACGATCTGGCCCTGTTTGTAGAGCGCGCCGATGGCTTTCTTGAAGTTGCCTTTGCTCACGCCGAACAAGTTGCTGATCACCGCCGGATCGCTTTTATCGCTGACCGGCAAGGTGCCGTTGTTTTCGCGCAACTTGGCGAGGATCTTCGAGTTCAGGCTGGAGGCCGCTTCCTGACCGACCGGTTGCAGGCTCAAGCTGATGTTGCCGTCGGCGCGGATCTCCTTGATAAAGCCTTTCTCTTCCTTGCCGGGACGCAGGAATTTGAAGACTTCGTTCTTGTGGATCAAGCCCCAGTGCTTGTTGTTGATGATCGCCTTGAAACCCATATCGGTGGCTTCAGCCACCAGCAGATCGACTTCCTGGCCCACCTGATAGTTGGCGGGTGTCTTGTCCAGGTAGCGATCAAGGCGCGCGGTGGCGGTGATGCGCTTAGTGTGCTTGTCGAGATAGACATGCACCACGCAATACTCACCCGCGCTCAACTGACGCTTTTCTCCGAGTAAGGCAGCAACAGATCTTTGGGCAGCCCCCAATCGAGGAATACACCAATGCTGTTGACTTCCACTACTTTCAAACTGGCGAACTCGCCCACTTGAACTTTGGGCTTTTCAGTTGTAGCGATAAGTTTGTCATCGCTGTCCAGATAAATAAAAACGTTAAGCCAGTCTTCATCTTCACTGGGAATATCTTTGGGGATATACCGATTAGGCAAGAGGATTTCACCGTCTTGCGCACCATCGAGGTACAAACCAAAGTTAGTGTGTTTAACCACTTGCAAGCTGTTGTAGCGCCCGACTAAAGCCATTTCCAAACCCCTCGTTACGTGGGCGGCATTCTACCCGAGTTGTGCCCGCCACGCGCGCACGCCTGAAAAATCCAGGGGTTGCGTGGCTTTCTGCTGGCCCTGCCCCGCTCGTCAGATCATCCCGATGAATTTTGCCCGGAGCGCCAGGCCAGTCGTTCCAGGGCTTTCCAGTTAAAACAGTAAGTTAGCGGGTTATTCATAGGCCCAACTTTGCCCATTTTCAACCGGGCGCTTTATTCTCAGGGGATATTTACCAAGCAATTGTCAAGTATTTCATGTACGATGCCTGGCCAAGTTAATTCTCTACAGGTTAGTGGCCGCCATGCGTGTAAAAGCATCCAACAGCAAAGCAAAGCCAGCTCCCGCCGTTGAAACCAGCGAATCGATCAACAGCCAGATTGCTGCGTTCCTTAAATCCGGTGGCGAAATCCAGCAAATTGCCAAGGGCGTAAGCGGCCAGACTTTCGGCCCGTCCAAGCAGATCAGCCTGGGCAAGAAGTAACACTCTCGCAACACACCTGGTCCCTAAGCGCCTTGCCTTCAAGGCGCTAGGACTAGCGTCAGTACCACCCTCCCATTGCATTCAATAGCACCCTAATCGACGAACGGGCCTCACCGACTGCTATTCGCCGGTATCCTTGCACGCGTCTAGCGCGGGCATCTGCCCGATTTTTCCGTCACTGCTCCTCGCTTTTCATGGAGTGAAGCATGTTTAAACCCTGCATATTCCTGATCACTGCCCTGGTCGCCAGCCCTCTGGCCGAAGCGCAAATCTTCCAACGCGAATTGGGCGACTTCGACCTGAAACTGGGTACAACCCCCAGCCGCAGCATGGCCCAGGGCCTGGTCAAGCCGACGTCGCCGGGCAGTGGCTCGTTCCACGGCGGCCTGGATCTGAGCCACGACAGCGGCCTGTACTTCGGCCAGTTCTCGCCGAACATGGGGCTATCCTCCTCCAGCAACCTCGAAATCGATTCGTATATGGGCTTCAAACACCCTTTCGATCAGACCCTGGGCTACGAAGTCGGCTTGATCCACTACAGCTACCCCACCCTCAGCCCGCTCAACAGCCAGGAGTTCTACGGAGGTCTGAACCTGCTCGGCAATCGTTTCGGCGCCTCCTTCAGCAACGACCCGGACCGCCAGGACAGCACCCTCTTTGCCGACCTTAGCGGCACACAGCCGTTCGGGATCGGGGTAAGCATGAAGTACACCACCCATCAGTTAGGCTCGCCAGTGTCGGTGGATGGCGGCTCCATCAGCAGTTTTCAGCGACTGGTCGGTGCAGTTTTCCCGCGCCTGGAAGGGCATCGACCTGGACCTGATCTACAGCGATTCCAGCCTCAGTGGCGGCAATTGCTCCGCCTACTCCGGGCACAACGCGCAATGCGATGGCCTGCTGACTCTCAAGGCCGTGCGCTCGTTTTATTGATGGGCTGAACTGTCGGACCCGGCCAGGGTTCACATGCACAAGTCCCCTCTGTGCAAGGATCCGCTCATGCTGCGTCGGCTCAAACTATTGGTGGTAGTACTGACCCTGAGCCTGGTGCTCGCCGGCTGCAATCGCGTGGGCCTGGCCTATCGCAATCTGGACGTGATCATCCCCTGGACTCTCAATGACTACCTGGACATGAACGCCGGGCAGAAGAGCTGGTTCAACGACACACTCAAAGAACACCTGGCCTGGCATTGCACCACGCAACTGCCGGGTTACCTGGACTGGCTGGACCGTCTGCAACAGATGGTGGACGCCAATCAAGTCACGGACGCCGCGCTGCAAACCCGCACCGTCGAGGCCAAACAAGCGATTGCCGAAGTAGCACGAGAAATCACCCCGTCGGCCATCGAGCTGCTGCAAGGGCTGGACGATGAGCAGGTCGAGGACATGAACGCCGCGTTGGTCAAAGACCTGCGCAAGCGTCAGGACGAATACCTCAAGCCCCCACTGCAACAGCAGATCAAGGAGCGCGCCGAACGCATGCGCAAGCGCCTGGACAGCTGGATGGGCCCGCTCAGCCCCAGCCAGCAAGCCCGCGTCCTGGCCTGGTCGGTCGCGCTGGGTGAGCAGAATGAGCAGTGGATCGGCAACCGCGCCCATTGGCAGGCGCAGTTTATCGACGCGGTCCAGCAACGCCGCAGTGCCGATTTCCCACAAAAGATGCAGCAACTGCTGGTGGACCGTGAAAGCCTATGGACCCCGCAATACCGTGCCGCCTACGCCCAGACTGAAGCGCAAGCGCGAAGCCTGATCGTCGACTTGATGGCCGACAGCACGCCGCAACAGCGGTTAAAACTCACCCAGAAAATCGACGGCGTGCGCAGCGACTTCAAGGCACTCAAGTGCCTCAAGGCCGCTGCCCGTTGAAATGCGGGCTGCCTTAGCAACTCGACAACGATCCTAGATCGCGCCGCCCGCAATCGCCGCTTCGGAAGCCACGCGATCAAAGGTTTCAGGGTCCAATGCGTCTTCCTGCTCGTCCATGACCTGACGCGGATGAGCGTTGCCAGGAATGGAGCTGTCAATCAGGGACAGCAGGCTCGCTCCCCGTGGGGTCAAAATGAAATTCTCGCCGTTACCGCCCTGTTCTTCCGGGCGCGATTCGATAAAGCCGCGTTTGAACAGCAACGCTTCATAGTCGGCAGCGGTCTTTTTCAGCGTATCCAGGTTGCCGATGGACTCACCGGCCGTGGCCTTGTCGGCGGCTTCCTGCTCCGCATATTTGCGCGGGGCAAAGCTGCCCTCGCCGTTCTGCACTTCGTGCAGCAAACGTTCGATCAAATCCCAGTTGTAAGTCGTCATCCTGATTCCTCCTGCGGGCGTGAGCAAAAGTGGCCCGTCAGCAGGTGGGACCTGTCACGTCGGCAGCCGTTCAGCCGAATGGACGGGCGTCATTTCTCTGAACTTTCCAGACGTTCGCCCCCTCAACTGCGTACAAACGCCAAGGAGGTCGCCCCATGAAAACCCTGATGAATCTAACCGTCGCCGCCGCTCTGCTCACCGCCCTGCCGACCTGGGCCTGTACGCCGGAAGAAGCCACCGCCAAGCGCGAGGAGCTGGCTAAACAAGTGACCCGGCTCACCGAACAGAACCCAGCCAAGGCCAAGGAGATGAACGACGAACTGCAGAAAATGGACCTGGACACCGAGAGCGCGGAGTTCCCCGACAAATGTCAGTTGATCGACGCGCGCCTCAAAGAACTGAAAGAGGCCGCCGCCAAGGCCGAAAACTGAGCCCATAAAAAAACCGGACATCGTCCGGTTTTTTTATATCGCCCCAGGCTTATTCAGCAGCTGGCGCTTCGGGTTTGCGGCGCTTGAGCGGGGCCATGCCGTCCTTGCTCACCAACGACAGGTTGTCGGTCTTCGGGCGGTTGGCGATCTTGCGCTTGGTCGGCGACTTGGCGCCGGTTTTCTTCTTGTCGCCCTTGGCGTCGGTCTTTTTCTTCTTCACGCCGACGGCCTTGCCCGACGCCTTGACCTTCTTCGGCCCGGTGTAGGTGCCTTTGACTTCCTTGATGGTGCGGCGCTCGAACGACTGCTTGAGGTAGCGTTCGATACTCGACATCAGGTTCCAGTCGCCGTGGCAGATCAGCGAGATGGCCAGGCCATCGTTGCCGGGCCCGCCCGGTGCGGCCGATACGGTGCACGTATTCGTCGCCGCTGCGCGGCATGTCGAAGTTGATCACCAGGTCGAGGCCATCCACGTCCAGGCCACGGGCGGCCACGTCGGTGGCCACCAGGATCTTCACACCGCCGGCCTTGAGGCGGTCGATGGCGAGCTTGCGATCTTTCTGGTCTTTCTCGCCGTGCAGCACGAACGCCTTGTATTCCTGGGCGACCAGGCGGCCGTAGATGCGGTCGGCGGCGGCGCGGGTGTTGGTGAACACAATGGCTTTCTGATAGGTCTCGTTGGCCAGCAGCCAGTTGAGGATCTGCTCTTTGTGCACATTATGGTCGGCGGTGACGATCTGCTGACGCGTGGTGGCGTTGAGGTCGCTGACGTTGTTGACCTGCAGGTGTTCCGGGTTGTTCAGCACCTTGGCGACCATGTCGCGCAGGGTCGAACCGCCGGTGGTGGCGGAGAACAACATGGTCTGTTGACGGTTGACGCACTCGCCCACCAGGCGCTGCACGTCGTCGGCAAAGCCCATGTCGAGCATGCGGTCGGCTTCGTCGAGTACCAGCACTTCGACTTCCTTGAGGTCCAGGTTGCCGGCGTTGAGTTGTTCGATCATGCGCCCTGGCGTGCCGATCAGAATGTCCGGCACCTTACGCAGCATGGCGGCCTGCACCTTGAAGTCTTCACCGCCGGTGATGATGCCGGACTTGATGAAGGTGAACTGCGAGAAGCGTTCGACTTCCTTCAGGGTCTGCTGGGCCAGCTCGCGGGTCGGCAGCAGGATCAGGGTCTTGATGCTGACGCGGACCTTGGCCGGGCCAATCAAACGATTCAGGACCGGCAGGACGAAAGCGGCGGTCTTGCCGCTACCGGTTTGCGCTGTCACCCGCAGGTCACGCCCTTCGAGCGCGAGCGGGATGGCCGCGGCTTGCACAGGCGTAGGCTCGACAAATTTAAGCTCGGCCACGGCTTTGAGCAGGCGTTCGTGCAGGGCGAATTGGGAAAACACGGGTGCTACCTCGAAGAAATGCAAAATATCAGCTGCATAGGGTAACGGTTTCGGGCGTCCAAACCGAGTTTCTTTACGCGAACGGGCCCAATCAGGCGTTTTTTTTGTGCTTGATTGTGTCGGCGACGTCAACTTTGTCGCACTCAGGTGCTCTAATCGCCCCCGACTTGTCTTACCGAGGAATCGCTTTATTCATGGATATCAAACAGCTCTGGCGCAACGTCCAAGACCTTTGGGACGCACTCGACCAACATCCCATGCTGCATGCGGGCCTGGGCTTGCTGGTATTGCTGGTGGTGGCCCTGGTGCTGGGTCGGGTGGCGCGCTACCTGATCCTGCACGCGGTCAAACTGCTCGGGCGCCAACCGGCCCTGCACTGGCTCAACGACCTGCGGCACAACAAGGTTTTCCATCGTCTGGCGCAGATGACACCGTCTCTGGTGATTCAGTTCGGCCTGTATCTGGTGCCCGACCTGAGCAAGACCGCCACGTTGTTCATCGGCAACGTGGCCCTGGCGTTCACCATCCTGTTCCTGGTGCTGGCCATAAGCGCCCTGCTCAACGCCCTGCTGGACATCTACGCCCGCACCGAACACGCACGCACCCGTTCGATCAAGGGCTATGTGCAATTGGCCAAGATGGTGCTGTTCGTGTTCGGCGCGATCATCATCGTTGCCACCCTGATCGACCGGTCGCCGCTGTTGCTGTTGTCCGGCCTGGGTGCAATGTCGGCGGTGATTCTGTTGGTCTACAAGGACACGCTGCTGTCGTTCGTCGCCAGCGTGCAGTTGACCAGCAACGACATGCTACGGGTCGGCGACTGGATTGAAATGCCCAGGTCGGCGCCGACGGCGATGTGGTGGACATCACCTTGCACACGGTGAAAGTGCAGAACTTCGATAAAACCATCGTCTCCATCCCCACCTGGCGCTTGATGTCCGAATCGTTCAAAAACTGGCGCGGCATGCAGGCCTCGGGCGGGCGGCGCATCAAGCGCAGCTTGTTCATCGATGCCAGCGGCGTGCGCTTCCTGCGTGACGACGAAGAAGTGCGCATGACCCAGGTGCACCTGCTCACCGATTACATCAGCCGCAAGCAAGCCGAACTCAGGGCCTGGAACCAAGCTCAGGGTCACAGCGCGCAGTTGTCGGCCAACCGCCGGCGCATGACCAACCTCGGCACCTTCCGCGCCTACGCGCTGGCCTACCTGAAAAGCCACCCGGACATCCAGCCGAACATGACCTGCATGGTCCGCCAGATGCAGACCACCGCCCAAGGCGTGCCGCTGGAGATCTACTGCTTCACCCGCACCACGGCGTGGGCCGATTACGAACGAATCCAGGGCGATATCTTCGATTACCTGCTGGCGGTGTTGCCGGAGTTCGGCCTGAGCCTGTACCAGCAACCCAGTGGCAACGATCTGCGGGCGGGGATGCTGCCGGCGGTGGCGGGCGCCAGTCATTTAGCAGCCCCGGATTACCCGGCGGTTTAAGCCAGCGAGCGGTTGGGCGACTTGACGCCCAACCGACTGATCCACACCGCCCCCACAATCACCAGCCCGCCCAAGGCCAACCGGCCCAGCGGCTCGTGCTGGTTCCAGATCAACAGGTTGAGCAACAACCCAACCGGTACGTGCAAGTTATTCATCACCGCCAGGGTGCCGCCGTTGACCAGGCATGCGCCCTTGTTCCACCAGTACAGGCCCAATGCCGTGCTGACCAGGCCGAGGAACACCAGTACACCCCACTGCAGCGGCGCTTGCGGCAGAAAATCAGCTTTGCCGAACAACAGGAACGCCGGCAACACCACCAGCAATGCGCCAAGGTAGAAATAGCCGAAGCGTCGGTAGTGCGGCAGGTCGCTCGGGTAGCGCGCCACCAGGTGCTTGTACATGACCTGCCCGGCGGCATAGGTGAAGTTGGCCAATTGCAGCAGCAAAAAGCCCATCAGGAAGTGCGGGGTGACCTGGTCGAAGCGAATCACTGCCGCACCCGCCACTGCCACCAGGGCAGCCAGCAATGCCCAGGGATTAAAGCGGCGGTTGAGAGCATCTTCGATCAGGGTCACATGCAGTGGCGTGAGGATGGTGAACAGCAGCACCTCCGGCACGGTAAGCACGCGAAAGCTCAGGTACAGGCACACGTAGGTCACGCCGAACTGCAGCGCGCCGATCACCAGCATGCCGCGCATGAACGCCGGCTCCACCGAACGCCAGCGCGTCAGCGGGATAAACACCAGCCCGGCCAGCACCACGCGCACCAGCACCGCGAAGTAGCTGTCGACGTGACCGGCGAGGTATTCGCCGATCAAGCTGAAGGAAAATGCCTGAATCAGGGTGACAACCAGTAGATAGCCCATGCGCGCCTCGTTTCGAATGGGCGGGACATTAAAGCTTTTCGTCGCGGGACGAAACTCGGGGCAAAAAAAACCCGACCTCGCTAAAGCGTCAGTCGGGCAGGAGCACTCAGGAGCACAAGTGCAAAGGGAGGTTCGTTACGCGTACTTGAAGGGTTGGCGTGCAGCGATATAAACACTGCGGGATTATCTGGCGATTAAAGCTTCACACCACCTGGGCCAGCTGGGCCTTGGCGTGATTGATGCCTTTTTCCTGGAAGTCGCCGCTCAGGTTCACCCCTTCGGCATGAATAAAAGCGACCTCATGAATCCCGATAAAGCCCATGACCTGGCGCAGATACGGTTCCTGATGATCAGAGCTGGCGCCGGTATGAATGCCGCCGCGCGCGGTGAGCACAATGGCGCGCTTGCCGGTCAGCAGGCCCTGGGGCCCGGTGGGTGTGTATTTGAACGTCACGCCGGCACGCAATACGTGGTCCAGCCAGGCTTTCAAGGTGCTGGGGATGGCAAAGTTGTACATCGGCGCGGCCAGTACCAGCACGTCGGCGGCCAACAGCTCATCGGTCAATTCGTTGGAGCGGTCCAGAGAGATCTGTTCGTCGTCGTTGCGCTGTTCCGACGGTTTCATCCAGCCGCCGAGCAGGTTGGCGTCCAAATGCGGAACCGGGTTGAGGGCCACGTCGCGCACGGTGATCCGGTCCGCCGGGTGGGCGGCCTGCCATTGGCTGATGAACTGTTGAGTGAGTTGGCGGGAAATGGAATCCTGCTGGCGTGCACTGCTTTCGATGATCAGAACGTTGGACATGGCTATGTAGGCTCCATCTGAAACTGCTGTAAGTCGATGGAGAAAAGATTAACCAGGGCTCATTCGATAAAAAAGCGCAAAAAACTGCTATAACCCATCTAGAAATTTGTTGATAAGCGGAGTATCCCTGTTGGCCTGCTCCGCTGATGCGTTATTTCGGGGTGCAGGTCAGGGCGATACGCATCTTGATAATCGCGCGGTTGAATTTGACCGTGGTGTTGGTGCTCTTGCCGGCCGGTACCGAGACGGTACGCCGACGCGGCGACTCCGGACCGTTGGTGAAGACTACCGAGCACTGGGCATCGTTGGTGCCGTAGTTATTCAGTTGAATCGAACTGATATCGGCATCCACGTCGGTCGCGGTGTAGTCCACGCTCACGCCGTCGATCTTTTTGCTCACATCGATAGGGTAGGCGAACGCGCTCAACGGCAGCAGCGCCAGCAGCACACAACAGAATTTTCTCATTCGGCAGTCTCCAATAAGGACCGCCAGCTTAGGACAAGAGGAACCCATCTTGAAAGCGCCCCGCGTTACCCTCGATCAATGGCGCACGCTGCAAGCCGTGGTCGACCATGGCGGCTTCGCCCAGGCGGCCGAAGCGCTGCACCGTTCGCAGTCTTCGGTGAGCTACACCGTAGCCCGCATGCAGGACCAACTCGGCGTGCCGCTGCTGCGCATCGACGGGCGCAAGGCTGTACTCACCGACGCCGGTGAAGTGCTGTTGCGCCGCTCGCGGCAACTGGTGAAAAACGCCAGCCAGTTGGAAGACCTCGCCCACCATATGGAGCAAGGCTGGGAAGCCGAAGTGCGCCTGGTGGTGGACGCCGCCTACCCCAACGCTCGCCTGGTGCGCGCCTTGAGTGCATTTATGCCGCAAAGCCGCGGTTGCCGCGTGCGCTTGCGTGAGGAAGTGCTGTCCGGCGTCGAAGAGCTGCTGATCGAAGGCGTGGCCGACCTGGCGATTTGCGGTTTCAGTATCCCCGGCTACCTGGGCACCGAGATGAGCGATGTGGAGTTTGTCGCCGTCGCCCACCCCGAGCACGCCCTGCACCGTATGAACCGCGCGCTGAGCTTCCAGGACCTGGAAAGCCAGATGCAAGTGGTGATCCGCGACTCCGGCCGTCAGCAGCCGCGGGATGTGGGCTGGCTCGGCGCCGAACAGCGCTGGACCGTCGGCAGCCTGGCCACGGCGGCGTCCTTTGTAGGCAGCGGCCTGGGCTTTGCCTGGTTGCCACGGCACATGATCGAACGCGAACTCGCCGAGGGCGTGCTCAAGCAGCTACCTTTGGAACAGGGCGGCAGCCGCCATCCCACGTTCTACCTGTATTCGAACAAGGACAAACCCTTGGGGCCGGCCACGCAGATCCTCGTGGAATTGCTGCGCACCTTCGACACCGCTCCGTTGGACGCCCCTTTCGCCGCCCCTCGACAAGCCTGAAACGGAGTTCAAGCATGCCCTGGTTCGACCATGACGACCGCAGCCTGCACTACGAGGAATACGGCCACGGCACCCCACTGATCTTGATTCATGGCCTGGGCTCCAGCAGCCAGGACTGGGAGCTGCAGGTGCCGGTGCTGTCCCGGCATTACCGCCTGATCGTGGTAGATGTACGCGGCCATGGGCGCTCCGACAAACCTCGCGAACGCTACAGCATCCCTGGCTTCAGCGCCGATCTGAGCGCACTGATCCAACACCTCGACCTGCCGCCGGCCCATGTGGTGGGGTTGTCGATGGGTGGCATTGCGTTTCAGTTGGCGGTGGACGAGCCCGGCAGCGTCCGCAGCCTGTGCATCGTCAACAGCGCGCCTGAGGTCAAGTTGCGCAGCGCCAATGACTATTGGCAATGGACCAAACGCTGGACGCTGGCCCGGGTGCTCAGCCTGAACACCATCGGCAAGGCTCTCGGTGACCGGCTGTTTCCCAAACCGCAGCAGGCCGACCTGCGGCGCAAGATGGCCGAACGCTGGGCAAAAAACGACAAACGTGCTTATCTCGCCAGCTTCGACGCCATTGTGGGCTGGGGCGTGCAGGAACGACTGTCCAGCATCGCCTGTCCAACCCTGGTCATCAGCGCCGACCACGACTACACCCCTGTGGCGCAAAAACAAATCTATGTAAAACTGCTGCCCGATGCGCGACTGGTGGTCATCGAAGATTCCCGCCATGCCACGCCCTTGGATCAACCCGAGGTCTTTAACGCAACCCTGCTCGAATTTCTAAAGACCGTCGACACCACTGCTCAGGATCACTGACCCATGCTGAAAAAAATCGCCTTCTTTGCCGGTTCCGTTCTGTTCGCTGCCAACCTGATGGCGGCCCAGCCGGCCAAGGCGCCACACGTTTTGATCTCCACCACCAATGGTGACATTGAAGTCGAACTGGACCCGGTCAAGGCGCCGATCAGTACCAAAAACTTCCTGGACTACGTAGACAAAGGCTTTTACACCAACACCATTTTCCATCGCGTGATTCCGGGTTTCATGGTCCAGGGCGGGGGTTTCACTCCACAGATGCAGCAGAAAGACACCCAGCCGCCGATCAAGAACGAAGCCAGCAACGGCCTGCACAACGTGCGTGGCACGCTGTCGATGGCACGCACCTCCAACCCGGATTCGGCCACCAGCCAATTCTTCATCAGCGTGGCGGACAATGCGTTCCTCGACCCAGGCCGTGACGCCGGTTACGCGGTATTCGCCAAAGTGGTCAAGGGCATGGACGTGGTCGACATCATCGTCAACTCCCAGACCACCAACAAGCAAGGCATGCAAAACGTGCCGATCGACCCTGTCGTGATCAAGTCGGCCAAGCGCATCGACTGACGTCTGCAGGATGCTCCGCGCACAGCCCACAAGGCTGTGCGCGCACCTGAAAGGAGAGCCCGCTCGGCGGGCGTCAACCCCAATGCTCTATCGTCGTTTCGAACAACTGATCGATATTTTTCGCGACGCGCCCAGCGCCGCACCACCTGACAAAGTCCTACCCTTCTACCTCTACTACCTGCGCCAAGTGTGGCCGCATTTTGCCGCCCTGCTGGTGGTGGGCCTGATCGGTGCGCTGATCGAAGTCGCACTGTTCAGCTACCTGAGCCGCATCATCGACCTGGCGCAGGGCACGCCGCCGGCGAATTTTTTCCAGGAGCACAGCAGCGAGCTGATCTGGATGGCCGTGGTCGCCCTGTTGATGCGCCCGATCTTCGGCGCCCTGCATGACCTGCTGGTGCATCAAACGATCAGCCCCGGCATGACCAGCCTGATCCGCTGGCAGAACCACAGCTACGTGCTCAAACAGAGCTTGAATTTCTTCCAGAACGACTTCGCCGGGCGGATCGCCCAGCGCATCATGCAAACCGGCAACTCGCTGCGCGATTCCGCTGTGGCGGCGGTGGATGCGATCTGGCACGTCGCGATTTATGCCATCAGCTCGCTGGTGCTGTTTGCCGAAGCGGACTGGCGCCTGATGATCCCGCTGGTGACGTGGATCATCTGCTACAGCCTGGCGCTGCGGTATTTCGTGCCGCGGGTCAAAGAGCGCTCGGTGATTTCCTCCGAGGCGCGCTCCAAACTGATGGGGCGCATCGTCGATGGCTATACCAATATCACCACCTTGAAGCTGTTCGCGCACACCCAGTACGAGCAGCAATACGCCAAGGAAGCGATCATCGAGCAGACCGAAAAAACCCAGCTGGCCAGCCGTGTGGTCACCAGCATGGACATCGCGATCACCACCATGAACGGCCTGTTGATCGTCACTACCACGGGCCTGGCCCTGTGGTTATGGACGCAGTCGCTGATCTCGGTGGGCGCCATCGCCCTGGCCACGGGCCTGGTGATCCGCATCGTCAACATGTCCGGCTGGATCATGTGGGTGGTCAACGGTATTTTCGAAAACATCGGCATGGTGCAGGACGGGTTGAAGACCATCGCCCAACCGCTGGCCGTGGTCGACCGTGAAAACGCCCCGCGCCTGAGTGTGCCCCATGGCGAAGTACGCTTCGAGCAGGTGGATTTTCACTACGGCAAACAGAGCGGGATCATTGGCGGCCTGAACCTGACCATCAAGGCCGGGGAGAAAATCGGCCTGATCGGGCCGTCCGGCGCGGGCAAATCGACCTTGGTCAACCTGCTGCTGCGCCTGTACGACCTGCAAGGTGGGCGCATCCTGATCGACGGCCAGAACATCGCCGAGGTGGCCCAGGAAACCTTGCGCGAGCAGATCGGCATGATCACCCAGGACACCTCGCTGCTGCACCGCTCGATCCGCGACAACCTGCTCTACGGCAAGCCTGACGCCACCGATGAAGAACTCTGGAGCGCGATCCACAAAGCCCGCGCCGATGAATTCATCCCACTGCTGTCAGACTCCGAAGGCCGCACCGGGTTGGACGCTCACGTCGGCGAACGCGGGGTGAAACTCTCCGGTGGGCAGCGCCAGCGCATCGCCATTGCGCGGGTGCTGCTCAAGGATGCACCGATCCTGATCATGGACGAGGCCACCTCGGCGCTGGACTCGGAAGTAGAAGCAGCGATCCAGGAAAGCCTGGAAACCCTGATGCAAGGCAAAACGGTGATCGCGATTGCCCACCGCCTGTCGACCATCGCCCGCATGGACCGCTTGGTGGTGCTGGAGAAAGGCCGGATCGCCGAGAGCGGCAGCCATGCCGAACTGTTGGCCCATGGCGGGCTGTATGCGCGGCTGTGGCAGCATCAAACCGGCGGCTTCGTCGGTATCGACTGAACACAACGCTGGTTGCACCGTCCGCCTGGCACTTTGCGCTGACCATGCTGTAATTCAGTGCAGTGCCCAGACGGGCGCTGAAGTAAATCTGCAGGGAGCATCACTGATTTACTGATTCGGTAGAGCGATCTATCAAGGACGGGTTTCATGTCTTTGTTCAAGCGTTCAGTCACAGAGGGGCTGGGTACGTTTTGGCTGGTGTTGGGTGGGTGCGGCAGCGCGGTATTGGCCGCAGCGTTCCCAGCGGTTGGGATCGGGTTGCTGGGGGTGTCCCTGGCGTTCGGGCTGACGGTGTTGACCATGGCGGTCGCCATCGGCCATATCAGCGGTTGTCACCTCAACCCAGCCGTGACGGTGGGCTTGGTGGTCGGCGGGAGGTTTCCGGCCAAGGAGTTACCGGCCTATATCATCGCCCAGGTCATAGGCGGCGTAGTCGCGGCGGCATTGTTGTATATGATCGCCAGCGGCAAGCCAGGCTTCGAATTGGCGTCGGGGCTGGCTGCCAACGGGTATGGCGAGCACTCACCCGGCGGCTATTCGCTGGCGGCGGGGTTCGTCAGTGAGCTGGTGATGACGGCGATGTTCCTGGTGATCATCCTCGGCGCCACCGACCCACGCGCCCCCAAGGGTCTGGCACCCATCGCTATCGGCCTGGCGTTGACCCTGATCCACCTGATCTCCATTCCCGTGACCAACACCTCGGTCAACCCGGCGCGCAGCACAGGCCCGGCGCTGATCGTGGGTGGGTGGGCGATCCAGCAGTTGTGGTTGTTCTGGCTGGCGCCGTTGCTGGGTGCGGCGATCGGCGGTTTTATTTACGGATGGTTGGGTAAGGAGCCTCCAGCCTGACGCCCCCATACCACGATGGGCCGGGGCAGCCCTGCCGATACAGGGCAGGGCTGCATTCAATAGAGGCTGACTTAACCCTGATGGGCCTGCATGTATTGACGCAACAATTGGTTGATCCGTGTCTGGTAGCCCGTACCCTGACCTTTGAACCACTCAAGAACGTCAGCATCCAGCCGAATAGTCACCGCCTGTTTTACAGGCACACGTAACTCCGCACGTCGGAAAAATTCGGCGTCCAGCTCAGGGATGTCGCTGGTATCGATTTCTTTATCTTTCATCTTGGCCAGGCGCTCCCAATCAGTTTTGGATGTTTGCGTCATAGTATTTGGCCTCCTTCTAAGTTGCCTTTCGGGCGGAGATGATACGAATCACATCACCACACCGCTCGGTGTATACGACTACACCCATTAACCGTTTTATCCAGCCAATACAGATCCAACGCTCTTCCCCATAATCCGCTCGATCATCGCGCAAGGCCAGCATCGGATGGCGAAAAATATCGGGTACGTCATTGAAATCGATTCCGTGCTTGGAAATATTGACCTTGTTTTTTGATTCATCCCATTCAAAACGCATGGCAATGCCTGTATGTACTTTTGTACATACAAAATAGCCAATTTTACAGTTCGTTTGCCGCGACGCGCACGAACGGCTTACGCCTGCCGATACGGCAGCGCCGCCCTCGCTTCTTCGGCATAGGCCAAAACGCCTACCCCTTCACGCTCGAGAAAATCCTCCACCGCCTTTTTCAAGCCCGGATGCCGCAGGTAGTGCCATGACCGCGTGATCACCGGCTCGAACCCACGGATCAGTTTGTGCTCACCCTGGGCACCGGCGTCGAAACGTTGCAGGCCTTGGGCGATGGCGTAGTCCATGCCCTGGTAGAAACAGGTTTCGAAATGCAGGCGGTCGAATTCCGCCAGGCAGCCCCAGTAGCGGCCGTAGAAGCTGTCGCCGCCGATCAGGCTGAAAGCCATGGCCACTGGGCGTGTGCCCTGCTTGGCCAGTACCACGCGGATTGCCTCGGGCATACGTTCGGCCAGCAGGCTGAAAAAGGCGCGAGTCAGGTACGGCGCCTGGCGACGGACTGCATAGGTGTTGGCGTAACAGGCGTAGACAAAATCCCACTGCGCCTCGCTCAGTTCGTGGCCTTGCAGCCATTCGAACTCGATGCCCTGCCCCGCCACTTGCTCGCGCTCCTTACGCATCTGCTTGCGTTTGCGCGAACTCAGGGCGTCGAGGAAATCCTGAAAGTCGCGGTAGCCGCGGTTCTGCCAGTGGAATTGACAACCCAGGCGCTGCAACCAGCCCGGTTGGCCGGCCAAGGCCTCGTCAGCCAACCCGTCGGTGAAGTTGATATGCGCGCTGGAGAGCCCTTCGATTTCCAGGTAACCGGGCAGGCTGTTGAGCAGCTCAAAACCATCCTCGACGCTGGCGGCCAGCAAACGCGGGCCGCTTACCGGGCTGAACGGCACGCCTACCAGCAGTTTGGGGTAGTAATCGATACCGGCGCGCTCACAGGCATCGGCCCAGCCGTGATCGAACACGTACTCGCCATAGGAATGCCATTTGCGATAACCGGGCAGCGCCGCCACCAGTCGATCGCCCTCCCAGTGCAGCAAATGCTCCGCTTGCCAGCCTGACTGCGGGCCCAGGCTGGCACTGTCCTCCAAAGCGCTGAGGAAGGCATGTCGCACAAAGGGCTGGGCGCTCGGTAGCAGCGCATCCCATGTCTGCGGGGCGATTTCGGACAGGCTGTCCAGGCGTTGCAACGGCATCGGCATCCTCACTACATCATGGCGTGAAAGCTTCGCGAGTATCGCTTATCGCCGCGACCAGCACACCCTTGAATCGCCGGACAAGGCTCTAAACCAATAGTTCCACGCCCGAACAATTTGTCACCGACATGACATTACTTTGCCACTGTTCCGTCATAAACCACCGCGATACTGACGCCTGTTTTTAGAGCGCCTGGTTCTAGCAGGCGGTTATTTTTTCCGTCCGTCAACGGTCGGTTGTGTCCTGGATGGTTTGCCATCCCTCCCCACTTTCGGAGATTGATATGCGTCTTGCTTCCACTAAAACTGCGGCGGTCCTGTGTGGCGGCCTGTTGCTGGCCTTGAGCGTTCCGGCCAGCGCCGCAGTCGACGCTAAATTGCTCGACATGCTCAAGGCCAACGGCCAGATCACTGCGGCGCAGTACACCGAACTGCAAACCGAGTTGGCCAAAGACCAGAAAGAACAGCAGATCGCACGGCAAGCTCAACAAGAGACCAACGAACAGATCGCGGCCACCGCCAAGAAAGCCAACGAACTGAGCGTGTTCGACCAGAAGCTGGCCTGGGCCGCCAAGACGCAGTTCAAGGGTGATGTACGCTTCCGCCAGGAAACCATCAAGATCGACGGCGAACCCAACAACGGCGGGCGTGACAAGGATCGTCAGCGCATCCGTGCCCGCCTCGGCGCTTACACCGAGATCAACCCGCAAGTGGACACCGGCATCCGTATCGCCACCGGCGGCGGCGACGATGCGCGCTCCACCAACCAGGATCAGGATGGCTACTTCGACAAGAAGTCGATCTGGCTGGACCTGGGCTACATCGACTACCACCCCGACCAGATCAAGAACCTGCACGTGATCGGCGGCAAGATGCTGCAACCGTGGGTCAACATGGGCGATGTGATCTGGGATAGCGATATCAACCCTGAAGGCCTGGCCCTGACCTACAAGTACCCGCTGGGCAGCAGCGCCGAGCTGTTCGGCAGCATCGGTAACTACAACCTCAAAGACAACGTCGACGGCGACGGCGTGCAATTCCGCCACGACCTGCGCCTGACCGCCGGCCAGTTGGGCTCGCGTTTCTCGCTGACCGACAACCTGAAACTGACCGTGGGCGGCAGCGTCTACGCCTATCAGAACGATGAGGACAGCCGCTGCACCACGACCACCACGCCGTGCGCGCTGGCGGTCAACGGTAACTCGGCCAACGAAGAGTTCCGCCTGTACGAAGGTTTCAGCCAACTGGACATCGGCGGCCTGGCCGTACCGCTGTCGCTGTACGGTCAATACGTGAAAAACAACGACGCCTCCACCGATCAGGACACCGCCTGGTTGCTGGGCGCCAAGTCCAAAGTGTTCGGTTTCAACCTGGACTACAACTACCGCGACACCCAGCGTAACGCCGTGGTCGGCGCCTTCACCGACTCGGACTTCGCCAACGGCACCACCGGTTCGCGCGGTCACAAGTTCAAAGTGGGTTACGACATCGACAAGAACTTCGCGGTCGGTGCCACGTACTTCCTGACCAAGGCGGATTTCTCCAGCCGTACCCAGCGCGACGCCGACACCAACACCCTGCAGTTGGATGCCGAAGCCAAGTTCTGAAGCTAGGCGTTGTAAGCCTTGGGCCAGGAAGGCCCGAGGTGGTTGTCACAGTCTGGCGTGGGCGGGGCGATCCCCATCATCCGTTCGGCTCACCCACGCGAGCCTATTTATTTCCCGTCTTTGCGATCCTTGCGCCGCTCGTCAGCGAGCCGCTGCGCCAAGGCATCCACATTCTTGACCGGCGCGTCGGGCATCATCTTCAAGGTGGCTTGCATCAGGCGCATCTGGCGGATAAACCGGCGGCAGTTCGCGCAGAACATCAAGTGATGACGCACCATCAGGCGCTCGCGAAAGGTCAATTGCCCATCGAGATAATCACTGGAACGTGCCACTTGTTCTTTACAGGTCAGCATTCGCCGGTTTCCTCAAAATGCTCCACCGTGGCGAAGACTTTAAGCCGTGCCCGATGCAACAGCACTCGCACATTGGAGAGCGAGAGGGTCAGCAGATTACAGATTTCTTCCAACGCCAGGCCCTGGCGTTCGCGCAAGACCAACACACTGCTTTGCAGCTCGGACAAGCTCAGCAACGTATGTTCCAGGCAGTCGCGCAGTTCGTCCTCGGTGAGTAACGCCTCCGGCGTGTCCTGGTGCCAGGCATAAGGGGCGACGGCCCAGTGACCGTCATCGGGGCTGAAACGGTCGTCGCCGATGGTGCCGTGGGGCGAAGGCAAATCGTCGAGCAGCACCTCCCGACGATTCTGCTTGTAACGGCCCTTGGCGGCATTGGCGGTGATGGTCAGCAACCAGGTCTTGAGGCTGGAACGCCCCTCGAACTTCGCCAGGTT